TCTAGATGAGTCAACTCTATAAGCCTTCAATACTGAATGCTATTCCCTGCCCAAAACAAAAGACTATTTAAAAGTCAGGACCAAGGGACACATTGAGATGAGTTACAAACATAAAAGCAGAAAACAGAAGGACTAGATTACTCATCATCTCAATGACTTGAATGAACCTAGAAAAGAATCACTAAGTCCACAACAGTTCACAACAGGAAATGAACTTAGTCTAGAACATGAATAACCCTGGAATAATGGAATAACCGATGCTTGGTGCTGAGATAGTTAAAAGATTGTGCAGTGATCAAACCAAAATACAATCTCAGTCTGATGATTGATCACAATCGGTGGTTACATCCTCGAGATACCGCACACTCCATAGTATTGAATAGGAATACATGCGGCAAGGCATGAAGGAATAGCAAGGAGTTCCTATGGACCATTAGGGCACTCCTTGGCAATAGAATGACCACTAGTCATTCCACCCAACTGAATAGGAATCTCGGAATGGTGCAATCCTTGTAAATTAATTACTCATTGTTTGTATTGATACCCAAAGCTTGTTGATGAGCCTCCAGGCTCTGTATGCTCAGAATTCATGGATTTTACCTGCTAATTAATGTTCCAGTCCCTTCAATGAACTTTCAGCAAACCAATGATTGCACACACACTGATACCACTTTTATCCTACAGCAACCACTCCTCACACACTTTGTTATCCATCCCAACTTGCTACGCATCATAATTGCTGTACTTCATCATGGCAAGGCACCTTTGATTGACAATCACCCCAATACAGAATTGATGCATCACTCAGAAGCACCCAGTTGATGCACTCATTGATCACTTAATAAAAATGACATGATTGACGTGAGTACCCTCCCAGCTACAACAATTGCAGCTACAGCAACTACAGACCATGTTTACTAAGGCTGTTACTTTGCCAAGGCTTCAAGAAAATGTTACCCCACACATACTCCTCAGCACGATGACTATTGCCCAGTAATCCGCAGCTAAACAGCACCTATTGATCTGCTCGTTGCTCAGTAAAACCATATGGTTTGCGTCCATACACGGCAACGTCGACAAGTTGCTGTTACTTTAGAAGACAAAGTACCATATGTTTCCTATGATTTTTACAAAGCCAAGGCCTTACAGCCTTACTAAGTCTCATGTATTTGCTCTATTTATAAATTCATACTTGTAGTATAAAAACTAGCTAGAAAATGTAGTTAGAAAGGAGTTCACCTATAGTTGACCAGTCTATGTCAATTCTCATCACACTCTAGTCTAGCAACAGTAAACCACGTTTATTCACTGTTCTACAGCAATATACCGTTTACCCTGCATATTCTTGATTGCACGTCAACTCTTGAAACTCACCAGAGTTATTCCACAGTTTTTAACTGTGAAGAGTCTCTTGACACCCCCTCTTCGCTCTTAACACTATTGGTACACAGCTCATATTGTGCCAATACATGATCATCGTGCCATACCTCGCCCATGTTATCTTTTATAGGCTATCATCGTTTCACTTTCACACCATTGGAGTTTTTACAGTTTCTCTTTTGCCATTGTTATCGTCACCCACTTGGGTAGTCTCCGAGCAGACTTAGGATCAGTATAGGACCAGTTTCAGCTAGTTTTCGTATAGTATCAGTCCCCCAAGTGGACTTGAAGGTTAGTTTGACATAGGATAGGATCGTTTCAGTACCAGACCAGTTTTGACATCGACTCCGGCATTATCACATTGTATAGGATCAGCAGCACCACCAGTTTTCATAGCCCCATATTTTCTCTCGCCATTCCACCCTCAGTACCTCATTCACCATTTTCTTTTGACACACATCATCTCCACTCTGTTTTCTTGTCACCATGTTTGCCCATAGACTATTGCCAACCATTTAGTCTATCTTCCACCATTCAACCAGTTCAGATTATCATCCAGCGATGTTTTCTAGTCTTGTCGCACATTTTCTCATATGGATTCGTGGTATTCACATCATACCTGATTCCGTTCCCTTTCATTTCGAGAAATCCCTACCAGCTTATAGTCATTGCATCTAGTACTCGACTACCAAGCAGTACTACTTCGCAGACTTAAAGTCGCAGTGTATACTTGCATATAGAGGAATTGATTTATTGCATGGAGGTGCCCTGAACCCACTCACAAACATGATCGCCTTGATTGCCATGTCACTACATTAATTACCCAATCTTATTTCAAGTTGGTATTGCCATTGCCACGGAAGTTTAGGCTCATCATCGTACCATAGTTACTTTTAGATACAAGCTCCTATACCTAGGCTAGAAATTGTATAAATTAGCAGCAACTAGATGCATAACAGCAGGAAAGCATTCCCCCGCATTTGTGCTAGTAGCCTTATAGCTACCTAATCAATCACTGGTTTTAATTGCATATCCTCGACTGAAGTGAATTAAGTTTACCAAGTCAACCCCAAAAGGGTGGCTATAAGTAATCTAGAAGAACTAAGTAGGAAGAAGAGTTGTCCCCACATTTGCACCTTGCTAGTTAATTGAACTGCTCCACATACAAAGGCCTCATGCTCCCTCACCGACTAAAGTTATCTAGACATGCTAAGTTGACCACAGACCGAAGATGTTGCCTAGTTGAAGTGAAATAAGCCCTAGAACACTTTAAGTTTGAACAGTTAACAAGTCAGTGTACTCTAGAGTCTGTGTACTCTTTGCAAGTCTCGTACTTGAAGCCAGGACCTGTATGTTCTTTGTAGAGTCTGTACTTTTTGTAGAACTTCGGTTCTTTGTTGCAAGTGCATGTGCTTGTGTTGTAATTGAGTCCATGTACTCCAGAGCAATTACGCTCTTTGTAGATCTCTAGGTCTTTGATTGTTCAATTGTTAAAGCTTCCCTAGTTAAAGCCTTACCAGCTCTCCTAGATGAAGTCATTGTGAGTCTAAACCACTCAAATTATACCTTACAAAACCCCTACATTCATATACCTCGCTGTCACAATTAGTGTATCTCGTGTAAACACTTTTAGACTTGAATCAAAGTTGTTTTGAAACAAACCCAATTGATTATCGATATCTAAGTACACCACAAGTGCTTCTACCGTACTCACCCTTGAACTTAACATTGGTGATTGTGTGTATGTGTGTGTGTGATTTAGTATCTAGATTGACGATCTAGACACTTGTTGAATTTGCACGCTGCCTGTTACTGAGCACATCACCAGGTGGGGGTGTGGGTTACAGGTCCAATGGTTGACCCTATGGGACCTGCCAGGATGGGTGCAGGTGCACCCGGGTAGGGAACCGTGCAAGTCTTTACATTATGTGCCATCAAAAACTGCTGCATTCCATATGTGCATGTATTGGTATATCAGCACTGATTGGACAGGCTGGTTCAGTAGTGTCATGGATTTAATTGAATATACAATAGCCCCTTTGCTGTCTGAGTTAAACAGAGAGATCCATGTAGGGAATATACTGTTGAGAAAGCTTTAGAAATGATGAAATTTCCATTAAAACACATTTATATACTTCCCACTGTATCCCCATCCATGGGTTTGTACATACATATATAATACCAGCTCTCTATTAAATATCCTGAAGGTTTCTGAGACATTGGAATGTATAGTTCAAGCAGTAGGTGATTCCTGAGCTCTCATTCCACACTCTTGATTGCAGTGGTCCAACAAACTAAGCAGCTATCAGGTGGCTGTGCTGCTTCTTTCCTGGCCTTCTACTGCCACCTTCAACTGCCATGATGCTCATATGCTCACCCAACACCCTCTTTTGGACTTGAAAGATATGTGATTACTATTTTCTACTACTTACACTTCTTTTTAGATACTTTTAATGTATCATGCAGCCCCAAAGCCCTGGATAGTGACTATACCACCCCCTCCCATGCTGCATGCAAGTCCTCCCTACAAGACAGCATCATGTATAGCCTCATGCAAAGGATGTGACACTCACCACCACCACTGACAATGACAATAACCTCCCAATGAAGCCCCCACTGTTTCCAAGTCCACCTCTGGTCCCCATTCTGACTCATCCTGTCTACCCTGCATTGACATTGAGCACAATCTCTATTCAGCATGTGATTTGTGCAATCTCACAATCTAGAATATACTTGTGGATCCTATATCAGCCACCATCTAAGCATAGGAAGGCATAATTCCTGCAGAACAATGAGAATGAGAACAACGAATATGTTGACAATAGCGATGACAGCCTGGGGCAGGAATCACAATACTCTGCTGCTGGGCCATGGGTGGACCTAGGGTAAGGCTCACAGGAGCAGGAGAAGATATAGGAGGGCTGCAGGAAGGTGAGAGTGTCTGAGTGTCTGAGTAGGAGAAAGGTCGGGATGCTGACAGCCAATGATAGCAATGACAAGATAATATCTGTAAGCATCAATAAACAACTCAAGGGTGAATCAAATGTGTCTAAAAATATTGGTATCTATTGACTATTCCTGCTGCTGCTGCCCACCTCATCCTCAACAAACATCAAGCTGGCCCATGCCAACCAGCTTGCCTTTGGACCCAAGTTCATGCATCTCCCATTCTTTAAGTGAGGGATTACAAATATGTGGTCATTTTCTCTTCCTGACATTATCATTGCTGTATGCCCACCCACCATCCTGACACCCATTTGTTCAACCTTGTATTACCCCCTGTGATGCCCTTGACTCCACAAAAGTCTCCCTATCCCTGTTCTTGAGTACTGGTAATCAAATAGGCAGTTCCATTCTGCTATCCAACCCTGCAATCACAGTCAACCTGTCAACAGCTCTGAACCCTCACCTATTCTGCATCCTAGCAGTCTAATTCCTCCCTCCACCATCCTATGACCACACACTTTGGTGACTATAATGCATATGTTGCTGATGACACTACACTCCTGGCCCTGTGGGATGCCAACACTGCTCTGCACCTCATACAATGGGGGAGAGGTTTAATGAATATTTTGATATTAATTAGTGGATATATGCATCCTAATTACCATAGATTACAAGGTCTAATAGTTTAGTGGTTATAATGTTTTGTCTATATTATTCAAAGAAGGTCTTTAGTTCAATTCTTAGTGCTATCATTTTGCTTCCTGCACCCTCTCAAAATTTAATGCTCATCCAAACCCAACGCATCACATCCATTGAATGTTGTGTGCAGACAGTCAGGGTTGCTGTGGTATATCCTTGACAATGTTTTTTCATTTTCAAATCTCATTTTACATGCTTGTATACTGAGCACAAGAGTGGGAATTTAAATATCTATGTTTCTGCATACTGAAAGGATCATGTTTCTGAATTTGGATGTGGCAGTGGCTGACAAAGCTTGGCCATGCTGAATTTTATTTTGATCTTGGTGCAATTCACAGCATTGGGAGAAATATGAAATTTCAAGGCATAATCATCTGTATTGGGTGGCCTTTTGGCAGAAATTGCTAGTGCAATTGGCACTACTGAGGCATGGATAATATCCATGACTGAGCCTACATAGCTCTGGGATATATCCATGAGCTTAGGCCTATGACTGCAGCCATTTGTGCATCAGTGTCCATATCCTTGCACTTCTTGGTGGTAGCACTGGCTGACTTTACTTTGATAGTGTTTTTGGGAACTTCATTACATTGCACTCTGATTTCACAATGTATTTTGAGTCTCTCATCCTGCTGAACAATCAGTACTATCTGGTTGCATGAGGCACCTGAAGAACCCACCTTACATTCTAAAGGTATTTTCTTCTTCATCTTCTTTGCACCTTTCTTTTTCTTCAACTCCACCTCAGCCTGAGCAGCCATCCTTATCTCCATGAACTTTTTAAACTCCTTCTCCAAATCTAGAGCATTGGTGGCAGGCAATGCCAACTCTGGATTGTTATCCAGATTCGAGACTTCCAACTCAGAATCTGAACCCTCAGAGCTCTTGTACTCTGAACCCTCTGAGTTGAGCAATGCCTCATTCTCAGAATATGCACCCATCTGATCCAAGTCATCATGCACATTACCTACTACACCCTTGTTCACATCCTTGCTCTCACTACCTCTATACTCATTGGGTGGTCCTTCCAATTCACTAGTATGCAGGCTCAAATCCTGAGGGAAATCATTCCCATCAGCCGATAGCAGCTCATCATCTCTCGAAATTGATGTGAGTTCAAAGTGGGGACTGGCAATAGGTGACAGAGAAGGTGATGGGTCAGCAGAAAGTGTGTTCACCATGGTTACTGGTGGTTCAGGAGACTGCAAGTACACTGTTGATGGAGCTGGCTTGAACTGGGTGTTGAAAATGGAGGTGACTGACTGTTGGGAAATTTTTGGTAAGCCATCTGCCATGTCAAGATCTAGGCGAAGTGATTGATTCTGCTTATCCTCTAGCATCTGCTTATCTTTAAGGGCAGCAATATATTTTGCAGCCTTTGATTTGTTTTTCTGCCACTCTGCTACTTTGCATGCCTTGGCAGCCTCCACCTCTTGCTTCTTAGCTTCTCATTTGTCATACTGCTCCTGCCTAGTATGCTTCTTCAGCTCCTCTAGTACTGCAGCTTGGACACTATGGGTGGTTATTTTTTGTGTGCTGGCACTCATGGAAGAAATATTGCTAGTGAGCACTTGTCAAAAATAAATTTGAAGATTGTCAATAGGACTAGCTAGAAGCAAGGTCATGAGAGTGTTTCAATTTGGCTTCTGCTATTACTCTTCTTTTTTATCTCATAAGTTGTCCAGCTCATTGAGTCACACAGCATCTCTCTTGTCCCTATGCATGGTGCAACCAGACATTCAAAACTCAGCATGGTTGCACTCAGCACATTAATTCACAATATGCTGGGTTTGCTTCTTCCAGCACCTCACACCTGACCCCTTCAGCATCTGGTGATCAAACCCAACTCAATGGAAATGTGGAGATGTTTGATGGAGCAGATTTTGATGGCATAGAACCAATGGATACTGATGCAGGCAGAGATGGCTTAGATGAAGCTCCAACCAATCAGCCTCCCTCAGCAAAAGGCACAAAAAGCTTCTACCCTTACCTTACCAGTATGTGCTTGAAGCCCATTCCTCATTTTATGACTCATGAAATGCAAAAAGGGTGTCCTTGTGATCAAAACAGCATTGATTTTCCAGACAGTATCCCCTCAACACCCATGCCTAAACCTGAAAATGTTGCTGAGCCATTTGAGAATTCAATTCAATTCCAGATTGTGGATTTTCTCTTCTGTAAAGCTGAGATGTCACAAGGCCATGTCAATGAACTCATGGAGCTTTGGACATTGATGATGCTTTAACATAATGACTTTGGTCCCTTCAAAAATCATACAGCAATGAATAAGCTTATTGATGATATTAAGCAGGGTAGTGCTCTCTGGAAGTGTTTTGTTATGTAGGTTGAGCCTGATTTGCATTTGCATGCACCCAGCTGGCAATGAGACCAGTATCAGATCTGGTATCAAGACCCTGACACCATTATTACTCATATTTTGTCCAATTCCAATTTCTGCACCAAGTTCAACACTTTGCCATATGTTCATGTCAGACCTGATGGAAAGCAAAGATGGTGCAATTTCATGTCAGATAATTATGTATGGAAACAGTCAGTACATTAGCTGGATTTCAATGAGAGTACAACTGACAAACCATCTTAGACAAAAATTCACACAAATGACCTATCAACAGAGGGTGCTATGTATGTCGCCATCATTCTTGGTAGCGACAAGACCACTGTCTCTGTTGCAACAGAAAATGTAGAGTACCACTCTACATCTCTATTGGTAACATCCACAACACAGCTTGATGTGGCCATCACAACACTGTAGTTCCAATCGGGTTTTTGGCTATTCCAAAGGGTATGTACATCAATTTGTTTTTGGCCTATTCTCATAGTCAGATACAGGTGACTGGAAACATGATGATGATCTTATTTTCTGTCTCATCAAGAAACAGTTGTATCACTCTTCTATTGCCACAATTCTTAACTCGCTGAAGCCTGCAATGACTCAGCCTGTTGTTTGATGGCCATTATTGGCAGATAATATATGACCTTGGAGCATTTATTGCTGGTTATCTGGAGCAGGTGCTTCCCTCTGGAATAGTTTCAGGCTGGTGTGCAAAGTGTGTAGGTGAATGTTCTATCCTTACAAAGCTAAGCTTTCAAATCAGGTGTACAGCACTCTCCAATGATCTTGATGGTCCAGGGGGCTATAAAAGTCAGGAACTCACTGAACTTCTATTAGAAGAGTATGGAGGGGGTGATGGGCATGTACTCTGGCATAATTATGGTATAGACAAGAATATTTTAGTATGAATATTCCCAATTATATGTATTGCAACTGATGAATCATAAATCTGTACAGCCATTTACCTTTGCATTTCCTCATGTGAACATCTATGAGATACCAATATCTGACCTGCTGCATCAGATCATCAAAGGGACATTCAAGGACCATCTCATTGAATGGGTCAGTGAGTATCTAATGATCTCCAAGGGCAAAGAGAGAGCAAAAGAGATCATGGATGATATTGATCATCAGTATATCTCCTCCTTTGGTCCAAGTCTTCATAATTAGTATTCTGAGTCACCTTTACAGGATTGCTGCTACACCAACCTTTCCTGGTCTACATTGATTTTCAGAAGGGTGTCATTTCAAACAATGGACTGGAGATGACTTGAAGGTGCTTATGAAGGTATGCCACATGTTGCCAAGACATTTGAGGATCAACACTAACCCAGAAGGCTTCAGGTATATCTTCCTGCTGTTGCTGAGTATCTGCCAGAAAAAATGATCAGTGTCTTGCATCATTTATGGACTTCTATTACCTCATCCAACATACTGATTTTGATGAGGAGACCTTAAATCAGCTTGAAACCACTATTGCACAATTCCATGCTTATCACCAAGTATTCATCACTACTGGTGTACATGATAGTATATCCCTACCTTGCCAGCATTCTCTGGTGCACTATTGCCTGCATATTATCAACTTTGGAGCTCCCAATGGACTATGCTCCTCAATCATGGAGTCCTGACACATTATGGCAGTTAAAACCCCTTGGCAATGATCAAACCAGTATAACACCTTAAGTCAAATACTCCTGACAAACCAACAACTGGACAAACTGACTGCCCTTCATGCCAAACTAGCATCCAAGGGACTTGTGACTCCAAACCACCCCCCTCCACCAGATCCCTTTGATATGGAGAGCAAGGATGCTGGTGCTGTTGATGAACTTATACTGGCTGAAGTGAAATTAGCCATAACAAAAGGTAAGAACTCTCTGAGTATTTGATATCTATGGCATCTAATAGCTACCCTATTAGAATGAGCATATCCATGACATTTGGGGCATCTTGCTGCCTGTACATATTACCCCCAGCTTCCAGCTTCCTTCACTCACATGGTGGTTTCTATATGATCAACTCCATGAAGAAATGGATCCTCCTTCTGACACCATTGTACTGGATGACTGCCCTGAGATCACATCTAACATTTATGTGTATCACTCAGCAGGAGCATCATTTTATGCTCCTAGTGATATCTCTGGGATCAGGGACATGCAATGAGAACACATCTGATGTACCCCATCCTGGCACAAGTGACCTTACCATGACTGCACTTTCGTAGTTGAGGAGCAGAACCAGCCAGGCTTTAGTAGGATGAGTGTGGTCTGGGTTTTGCTGTTCTTTTCCTTTATATATGACAGTGTCATGTACCCTTGCACACTTGTTTATTGGTTCAAGAAGCATGGTCAGCACCCTGACAAGAAGACAGGATTATGGATTGTGAAGCTGGATGCTGTAATTAGTGTTGTATATCTTGATTCTCTTCTTTGAGGCACACATCTTATTCCCATATATGGCTCTCATCTCATTCCTCATAAATTTGACTATGCATACTCATTGGATTGTTTTAGGGCCTTTTATGTTAACAAGTATCCCGACTATCATTCTAATGAAATTTTCTTTTCATAGCTTCTGATTCTAAATTCTCATTGCCAAGTGACTAGGCTCAACCAAACATGTGGTGACACCAGTGTGCATATATTCCAAAATAGTATAAATGTTGTAAGGGTCATATTGCAGGGAGTGTGTGAGGCA